TTGCTCTTACTGTAAAGAACCTTTCCCACAACTTTTACTGCAAAGCACACTTTGCTACAGGTTTCACTACAAGCAACCCTCTCCTGCCATTATTAGTTTTATAGAACCCTTTTGATTGTTCTTAGTATAAAGAACATTTCTTGCCACTCTTACAATGAAGAATCCTTCCCATTGTTCTTACTGTAAAAAAACAAAACCTTTATACAGCTCTTTCATTAAAGAACTCTTCAATCTGCTCTTACTGTAAAGAACAAATCTCGCCACTCTTACTATGAATAATTCTTCCTACTGCTGTTACTGTAAAAAAAAAATTGTTATACTGCTTTTACTGTAACCCTAAAAAACTTTTACTGAAAAGAACACGCATTTAATCTTACTGAAAAAAAAACCCTTCCATCCACTCTTACTGTAAAGAACACTTACCCGCTGCTTTTAGTACAAACAACTCTTTCCTATCACTATTAGTTTCACGGAACTATTTTTATTGTTCTTAGTGTAAATAGCATTTTCTTGTCACTCTTACTAAGAAGAATCCTTCCTACTGTTCTTACAGTAAAAATAGTAAAACAAAAATCCTTTATACTGCTTTTTCAGTAAAGAAACCTTTTATCTGCCCTTACTGTAAAGAACTCTTCCATCAGCTTTTACAGTATAGAACCCCTAGTTAGATTTTTATCCCTCCTTTCCTACCACTGTTACTGTAAAGAACCCTTCCTACCACTGTTACTGTAAAGAACCCTTCCTACCACTGTTACTGTAAAGAACTACCACTGTTACTGTAAAGAAACACTTCTACAGCTTTTAATGCAAGCAACCTTTTTTTTTTTTTACTACTCTTAAGGAACTTTTTCTAAGTGTAAAGAACCCCTTCTTGGAACTCTTAATATGAAGAACCCTTCCTATTGGTCTTCTATAAAACCCCCCCCCTTTATTCTGCTCTTTGCAGCAAAGAACCTGCCCCCTGTAAAAAAACCTCCCACCTGCTCTTACAGTAGAGAACCCTCCCACCTGCTCTTACAGTAAAAAAACCCTCCCACCTGCCCTTACAGTAGAGAACCCTCCCACCTGCTCTTACAGTAGAGAACCCTCCCACCTGCCCTTACTGTAGAGAACCTGTAGACTCATGCTGTCTCTCCTGTCACAGGGGTGTCGGGATTCATGAGGGTCGATCACAATGGTGACGGGAGAATGACTACTCGCTGTGGGACCTCTCCGAGACGGGCGGAGACTTTCAGGTGAGATGATTGGCAGGTGGTGGCTGGAGCTGGATGGTGATTGGCTGTGACAGGTGACCGTCAGTCTGTCCCTCGCAGGTTGTGGCCAATTATAACGGGACGCAGAGGAGCATCAACCGGGTGTCGGGGAGAGAGATCCACTGGCCGGGGGGGGCGGTGCCAAAGGATGTACCGCCCTGCGGATTCGACAACAGTAACCCGGAGTGCATGAAAAGTAAGAGAGGGGGTGGGGCTGGGGGCGGGGCCATCAATATATCCTGATTGTGTATATAGTTCATCTCACCTTAAGGATAGAGCTCCGCCCCCTGAGGATGGAAGGATTGCGTGTATAGGTCAGACATCCATCTGGGGGCGGAATCATCTCAGCACAAGTCTGACCACTGGAGGTCAGGTGGGGGGGTGTCAGCACAAGTCTGACCACTGGAGTACAAGCGGGCGGGGGGGGGGGTGTCATGTCAGCACAAGTCTGACCGCTGGAGGACAGGTGGGGGGGGGGGGTGTCAGCACAAGTCTGACCGCTGGAGGACAGGGGGGGGGGGGGTGTCAGCACAAGTCTGACCGCTGGAGGACAGGTGGGGGGGGGGGGGGGTGTCAGCACAAGTCTGACCACTGGAGGTCAGGTGGGGGGGTGTCAGCACAAGTCTGACCACTGGAGGACAGGTGGGAGGGTGGGGGTGTCAGCACAAGTCTGACCACTGGAGGTCAGGTGGGGGGGGGTGTCAGCACAAGTCTGACCACTGAAGGACAGGTGGGAGGGTGGGGGTGTCAGCACGAGTCTGACCACTGGAGGAAAAGCGGGGCGGGGGGGGTGTCAGCACAAGTCTGACCACTGGAGGACAGACAGGTGGGGGGGGGCAGCAAAAGTCTGACCACTGGAGGACAGCAGGGGGGGGGGGGTGTCAGCACAAGTCTGACCGCTGGAGTACAGGCGGCTGGGGGGGGTGGGGGAGGCTTTTGGGGGGGGTGTCAGCACAAGTCTGACCACTGGAGGACAGGCGGGGGTGGGGGGGGGGGCTTTTGGGGGGTGTCAGCACAAGTCTGACCGCTGGAGGACGCTGGAGGACAGGCGGGGGGTGGGGGGTGTCAGCACAAGCCTGACCGCTGGAGGACAGGCAGATCTGTTCTCCCAGCACAGCTAGAAAACTGACCACCCTGGGATGGATGAGCTCCCATGCCTAGTGTGGTCAGTAATGGGAAAGCAGATGGACCGGGAGGATCACCAAGGACTTCTTCATACCAGGACATGGTGCACCCGGCACAGAGCGGGGGAGGGGATGTTGGGGCACCGAGGATACACCACTCACTACAGCTGTAGGGGGCCGGATGTGGGTGTCCCTGAGGATGGGTGTATGGAGCTCAGCCCCCCCATCATGGAGGATCCACGGGAGGGAGGAGAGCCGTGTGTGTGGGGAGGTCTGACACGTCTTCCCGATCTCTTCTCTCCCAGCCAGCTTCTCCGTCCTGGAGGTCACATCCATCGTCATCTGCTTCATCCTCCTCGCCATCGCCGTCTCCTCCGTCTTCATATACAGGTACTCTTCTCCCCCCCCCCCACGTACCCCTGATCTACCCCCCTATACTCTCTCCCCCCCACCCCTGATCTACCCCCCCGTACTCTTCTCCCCCACCCCTGATCTAACCAACCCCGTACTCTTCTCCCCCACCCCTGATCTACCCCCCCCACTCTTCTCCCCCCCCCACCCCTGATCTACCCCCCCCCGTACTCTTCTCCCCCACCCCTGATCTAACCCCCCCGTACTCTTCTCCCCCACCCGTGATCTACCCCCCCCCCCCCCCCGTACTCTTCTCCCCCACCCCACCGCTGATCTACCCCCCCCCCGTACTCTCTCCCCCACCCCACCCCTGATCTGCCCCCCCCCGTACTCTTCTCCCCCACCCCATCCCTGATCTAACCCCCCCCCCGTACTCTTCTCCCCCACCCCACCCCTGATCTACCCCCCCCTGTACTCTTCTCCCCCCACCCCACCCCTGATCTCCCTGATCTACCCCCCCGTACTCTTTTCCACCACCCCTGATCTACCCCCCCCCCCCCCCCCCCCCGTTCCTTCTCCCCCACCCCTGATCTACCCCCCGTACTCTTCTCCCCCACCCCTGATTTACCCCCCCCCCTACTCTTCTCCCCCACCCCTGATCTACCCCCGTACTCTTCTCCCCCCCCACCCCTGATCTACCCCCCCCCCCCCATACTCTTCTCCTGGTCCCCCCACCCAGTATTCTACTGGTCTCCCCCCCTGTACTCTTCTCCTGGTCTCCCCCCCCCCCCCCGTACTCTTCTCCCCCACCCACCCCTGATCTACCCCCCCCATACTCTTCTCCTGGTCCCCCCCACCCAGTATTCTACTGGTCTCTCCCCCCCTGTACTCTTCTCCTGGTCTCCCCGCCCCCCCCCGTACTCTTCTCCTGGTCCCCCCACCCTGTACTCTTCTACTGGTCCCCCCACCCTGTACTCTTCTCCTGGTTCCCCCCCACCCTGTATTCTTTTCCTGCCCCCCCCCCACCTTGGCCTTGTAGCTACTAATTGAAGCCGGCAATGCTCCGGATGGTGTCGGGCCGAGGTGGAGAAGAGGATGGGGGGGGGGGGGTAATTCTCTGGATGGTGCCAGGCCGAGGTGGAGAAGAGGATGGGGGGGGGTAATTCTCCGGATGGTGCCGGGCCGAGGTGGAGAAGAGGATGGGGGGGGGGGTAATTCTCTGGATGGTGCTGGGCCGAGGTGGGGAGGAGGATGGGGGGGGGTAATTCTCTGGATGGTGCTGGGCCGAGGTGGGGAGGAGGATGGGGGGTGGTAATTCTCCGGATGGTGCCGGGCCGAGGTGGGGAGGAGGATGGGGGGGGGTAATTCTCCGGATGGTGCCGGGCCGAGGTGGGGAGGAGGATGGGGGGGTGGTAATTCTCCGGATGGTGCCGGGCCGAGGTGGGGAGGAGGATGGGGGGGGGACCTGATTCTTGTTTCCATGAGAGCTGCAGCAGGTTGACTCCAGCGAGGGGATTAGAGGAGACTTCCGAGTGCGTCCCACGTCTCCTCTCTGCCGTAGATTGCAGACCTTAATAAGGGCCAGCGGGGGCCCCGGCCTCTGCACTGGAGCAATCATCCACCTCAGGATTAGTGCTGCCTGCGGGGTCCACAAAGGGTAATCCCCCCCCCCCCCTCAGGGGCCCCGTGTACATGATCGGGGTGATAATTGATGGATACATTTGTAGATATGAAGTCAATCTGAAGGCCAAGTCTTCTCCTGTGAAGCCATGAGGTTGCCTATTAATAGTCCTGCTCCATATTTCGGGAAGTGATGGACACGGATGGGGCAGTTGCTGACCTCCCTGAGGGTGATGGGAGCTCCTGGCTGTCGGAGACGCTCATTATCTCACAGGGAAGTCAGCTTGTTAGCCTGTACCTGCGAGCGGCCGGTCCCTGGGGAACGTGATGGGCCAGGATGGCGGCGGGTTGCGGCAATGAAGCAGCACACGCGGGGATGGGAGAAATCTCCCCCCGCCTGCCATTGCCAGCGATACATCTGACCATCCGTGGTCACCATGAGGTGATTGATGGAACCAGGTCACTTTGTTCACTCTTTTATCTCAGGATCGGTAATAATTTCAGGCAATGGAATAAAACAGCCGGCCGCTTCTAGCAGCTGCTTCGCACTGACCGGCGTCCCCTGTCTGTCCCTTCCAGGAAGCTGCGGCTGGAGAAGGAGCTGGCGGCCGAGCTGTGGAAAGTGCGCTGGGAGGACATCCAGACCAGCAACATGGAGAAGAACCTGCGCCGAGCGGGCAGCAAACTCACCCTGTCTATGGTAACCACTTCAGACACAAACTCCGCCCCCCTCTCCCCCTTACCGGCTGACAAAGGGTCTTGGGTGTGGCAGCTGACCCCCACTTGGGACCACCACAGTCAATGTAGAAATATGTAGTGCGTCAGCCAATCAGTAGCCTTCTTTGGCTTCAGAATAGCTCACATTAGGAAGCCCCCTCAATGTGTCATGAGCTACGATTTATATACTTCACTCATATTTAGCAGGCCTTTCATAGTTCTTCTAGCCTCTCTTCCCATGATTCTGTACATCTTCTCATCCAATGTGTACACAAGGCTAGGGTAGGCTCCAGGGGCAGACTGACAACTCATGGGGCCCCCGGGCAATAGGGGATCACAAGGCCCCTGTGTCCTGGCCAAAACTCAAAAAAGCCTATGAAAAAGCTACTAGGGGCATCTCATGGGGCCCCCTACTGACCTCGGGCCCTCGGGCAGTGATCGAGTTTCCAAATGGTCAGGTGGGCTCAGAGTGAGGGCAGGGCTGGAACCAGGGAACCCACAGACTGTATATTCTGGTTTTAGGCTGGGTATACGTTTGATATCTGACCACCAGACTAGAATGGTCAACCAGAACATGAGGAACTGCTTAGGGTCTTCAGAAACCTATGGGAACAGAATGGTTTGAAGAGTAAATTGGTAGTTGTGATCTCTGAAGGCAGTGCCAGCTTCACCCACCATCTTCTAGCATGCAGAAATCGTCTACTACTCAACTACTTTACTCCACTAGTAACATTTGTAGACCACATGTGGACTTCAGGGTTAGACCTTCACCTGTATTCTGTCCCAATAGACAGAAGACCTTCATATTTCCATGTCGGCACATCATTAAGTAATGGAGAACTTCATTAGGTGGCCGGGTGAAAGTATGGGGAATGGTGGAGGAACGGCGGCAAGGAACCAAGAATGAACCCGAGAAGACCTAGAGACAGAAGCCTTGAGATGCATATACAGTGCTTCTGCTTTTTGTGAGGCTGAGAAGATAGCTAGGCACTGGACAGAAACAGGACAACAGAGAAGTGCATAAAGTAGCCAGAAGGAGGTAATGTATGTGGACTAATTGAAGATAAGAGGCCAAGAAACCATAAAGTAGCAGGAAGGAGGTACGTGGAATGGTTGAGTGAAGGACGCCAAGAAACCAAGACGGAACCAGAGAAGACGGAAAGGCAAAAAATGATGGAGAAAGAAACTTAGGATGAACTTGGGGTGGATAATACGATATCATATGTTCACGTTTCACTTCTTAGGGTCATTCTCAAATTTGTTCAGACTAAACCCCGATTTCCACTTGTGTCCTCCTCAACATTCGTTTCATTGATCATCTTCACTTGACATTGTATTATCCACCCCAAGTTCATCCCAAGGGTCTTTCTCCGTAATTTTTGTCTTTCCATCTCCTCTTGTTCTGTCTTGGTTTCTTGGTGTCCTACCCTCAACCATTCCACGTACCTCCTTCCTGCTACTTCATGGACTTCTCCATTCCCTCACTGTTGTCCTGTTTCTGTCCAGCGCTTGGATATCTTCTCACCTTCTGTAATGCCTATGAAATGTGTTGGCCTTGGACCCTTTTTTTCTTGGGTCATTTTAACAATAAAGCATCGCGCCCAAATGCCAGGAGCATGAGAGGTGAATTATGTCACTTCTCGAAGCTAAAGGAACAGAGTCACAAGATATTCTGCTTAGAGCAAGATAAGAACTTGTTTGTGGGATTGAACGTGCTTACGACATCTAGAAATGTCACATTAGAAGATAAGAACCTGTTTAAAGGTGTCTACTTGCTTGAAAAGTTAGAAATCTTTAAGTTTAGGGTAGATGAGAAGAAGTTTGGGGTAGATGAGAGGAAGTTTAGGGTGGATAAGAAGTTTGGGGGTAGATGAGAAGAAGTTTAGGGTAGATGAGTAGTTTGGGGTAGATGAGAAGAAGTTTGGGGTAGATGAGAAGAAGTTTGGGGTAGATGAGAAAAGTTTAGGGGTAGATGAGAAGAAGTTTAGGGTAGATGAGACGTTTGGGGTAGATAAGAAGAAGTTTGGGGTAGATGAGAAGAATTTTGGGGTAGATGAGAAGAAGTTTGGGGTAGATGAGAAGAAGTTTAGGGTAGATAAGAAGAAGTTTGGGGTAGATAAGAAGTTTGGGGTAGATAAGAAGTTTGGGGTAGATGAGAAGAAGTTTGGGGTAGATGAGAAGACGTTTAGGCTAAATAAGAAGAAGTTTGGGGTAGATGAGAAGTTTGGGGTAGATGAGAAGACGTTTGGGGTAAATTAGAAGAAGTTTGGGGTAGATGAAGAAGTTTGGGGTAGATGAGAAGTTTAGGGTAGATGAGAAGTTTAGGGTAGATGAGAAGACGTTTAGGGCAGATGAGAAGAAGTTTGGGGTAGATGAGAAGACGTTTGGGGTAAATTAGAAGAAGTTTGGGGTAGATGAGAAGTTTAGGGTAGATGAGAAGACGTTTAGGGCAGATGAGAAGAAGTTTAGGGTAAATGAGAAGACGTTTGCGGTTGATGAGAAGTTTGGGGTAGATAAGAAGAAGTTTAGGGTAGATAAGAAGTTTGTGGTAGATGAGAAGACGTTTGGGGTAGATGAGAAGAAGTTTAGGATAGATGAGAAGAAGTTTAGGGTAGATGAGAAGAAGTTTGGGGTAGATGAGAAGAAGTTTGGGGTAGATGAGAAGACGTTTGGGGTAGATGAGAAGACGTTTGGGGTAGATGAGAAAAACGTTTGGGGTAGATGAGAAGAAGTTTGGGGTAGATGAGAAGTTTAGGGGTAGATGAGAAGAAGTTTGGGGTAGATAAGAAGTTTGGGGTAGATGAGAAGTTTGGGGTAGATGAGAAGACGTTTAGGGGGTAGATAAGAAGTTTGGGGGGTAGATGAGAAGTTTGGGGTAGATGAGAAGACGTTTGGGGTAGATGAGAAGAAGTTTAGGGGTAGATGAGAAGACGTTTGGGGTACAGATAAGAAGTTTGGGGTAGATGAGAAGAAGTTTGGGGTAGATGAGAAGAACGTTTGGGGGTACATAAGAAGTTTGGGGTAGATGAGAAGAAGTTTGGGGTAGATGAGAAGAAGTTTAGGGTGGTGTAGAAGAAGTTTGGGGTAGATGAGAAGTTTGGGGTAGATGAGAAGACGTTTGGGGTAGATGAGAAGACGTTTGGGGTAGATGAGAAGACGTTTGGGGTAGATGAGAAGAAGTTTAGGGTAGATGAGAAACGTTTGGGGTAGATGAGAAGTTTGGGGTAGATGAGAAGACGTTTGGGGTAGAAGACATTTGAGGTAATGAGAAGAGTTTGGGGTAGATGAGAAAACATTTGGGGTAGATGAGAAGTTTGGGGTAGATGAGAAACATTTGGGGTAGATGAGAAGACATTTGGGGTAGATGAGAAGACATTTGAGGTAGATGAGAAGACGTTTGGGGTAGATGAGAAATTTGGGGTAGATGAGAAGCTGATCTGAAGCAATAGTGTGACCTTTTTTAGATAAGGATGTTGAATCAATATGGTGGCCGGGCGTGACTCTGTTATCTCCAAGGAACCTTTTCTGCTAGCTCCTCCTAGAGTGGGTGTGGCGCCCGCCCCACTTATATAACGCTGCCAGGAGAATAGTTGAAAAGCCGTGAACGGGATTGATGGGGAGCCCCGTGGTGCCAGAGAACATTCTGACACTGGGATTCTTGCCAAGGCAATATGGGCTCATTGATTGGTCGCGTTTACGGCTTCCCCGTGACCCCCTGTGAGGTATGACTCCGATGGGGTCTGTTCCTTCCCGTCTTCCCATAGCTTTGGTAATGTATTCATTCTATGCTGTGACGCTGTCCAATGACGTGTCTATTTCATGCCGTGATGCTCACGTTATTATTGGTGCGTGTTATGATGCAGATTGCGATGACTATGAGATATGTCCTCCTCGTGTGATAATAAAAGTCGAGGTTCTGACAGAGCACGAATATCGCAGTTGGATTCTGTTCTTTCTTGGAGTGCCGAGTGAATGCTATGATGTGCCGGGGCCGGAGTTCATTGGGTAGAGGGTCCTTCACATGTGTAGAACATGTAATGGTGTAAATGCTGGTTCAATGTACCTGTGTGTGACTACCTGTGTATTGTGTGTGACTACCTGTGTATTGTGTGTGACTACCTGTGTAATGTGTGTGACTACCTGTGTATTGCGTGTGCGTGTGTGTATGACTTGCTTTTAGTTATTGCACCCAGCATTTCATGACACCCGCCTACCATGGCAATCTCACAAAACGGCAGAAGCATTGTACCATTTACCCCAGGTTCATCTCAAGCCTTCTTTCTGTGGACTTTCTGTCTTTCCGTCTTCTCTGCTTTTGTCTTGGTTTCTTGGCCTCTGTCCTGGTTCTGTCTTGGTTTCTTGGCCTCGTCTCTGGTTCTGTCTTGGTTTCTTGGCCTCTTCCCTGGTTCTGTCTTGGTTTCTTTGGCTTCTTCCCTGGTTCTGTCTTGGCCTTTTTTTCTTGGCCTCTTCCCTGGTTCTGTCTTGGTTTCCTGGACTCTTCTCTGGTTCTGTCTTGGTGTCTTGGCCTTTTCTCCGGTTCTGTCTTGGTTTCTTGGCCTCTTCCCTGATTCTGTCTTGGTTTCTTGGCCTCTTCCCTGGTTCTGTCTTGGTTTCCTGGACTCTTCTCTGGTTCTGTCTTGGTGTCTTGGCCTTTTCTCCGGTTCTGTCTTGGTTTCTTGGCCTCTTCCCTGATTCTGTCTTGGTTTCTTGGCCTCTTCCCTGATTCTGTCTTGGTTTCCTGGACTCTTCCCTGGTTCTGTCTTGGTTTCTTGGCCTCTTCCCTGGTTCTGTCTTGGTTTCTTGGCTTCTTCCCTGGTTCTGTCTTGGTTTCTTGGCCTCTTCCCTGGTTCTGTCTTGGTTTCCTGGACTCTCTCTCTGGTTCTGTCTTGGTGTCTTGGCCTTTTCTCCGGTTTCTGTCTTGGTTTCTTGGCATCGTCTCTGGTTCTGTCTTGGTTTCTTGGCCTCTTCCCTGATTCTGTCTTGATTTCCTGGACTCTTCCCTGGTTCTGTCTTGGTTTCTTGGCCTCTTCCCTGGTTCTGTCTTGGTTTCCTGACTCTTCTCTGGTTCTGTCTTGGTTTCTTTTCCTCATGTCTGGTTCTGTCTTGGTTTCTTGGTCTCGTCTCCGGTTCTTTCTTGTTTTCTTGGCTTCGTCTCCAGTTCTGTTTTGGTTTCTTGGCCTCTCCTATGGTTCTACCTTGGTTTCTTGGCTTCTTCTCCAGTTCTGTTTTGGTTTCTCTGCCTCCTCTCCAGTTCTGTTTTGGTTTCTTGGCCACTTCTCCAGTTCTGTTTTGGTTTCTCGGCCTCCTCTCCAGTTCTGTCTTGGTTTTTTGGCCTTGTCTCTGGTTCTGTCTTGTTTTCCTGGCCTCTTCCACAGTTCTGTCTTGGTTTCTTGGCATCTTCTACAGTTCTGTCTTGGTTTCTTGGCCTCTTCTCTGGTTCCGTCTTGGTTTTATGGCCTAGTCTCCAGTTCTGTCATAGTTCCTCAACTTTTTACATTTAACCATTCCACATACCGCCCCCTCCTCCATCATCTACGCTTTCTTTCTCCATTCTGTCTTTCCATCTTCCCTGGTTTTGTCAGTTTTCTTGGCGTCCTACCCTCCACCATTCCACATACCTCCTCCTGGCCACTTCATGGAGTCTCCAGTCTTCCTCTGCTGTCATATTTTGGTTTCTTGACTGCTTCTCTGGCTCTGTCTTGGCCCCCTGGCCTCTTCTCTGGTTCTGGCTTGGTTTCTTGTTCTTTAACCTTCAACTTTTCCTCATACCTCCTCCTGTCCTTTCACAGATGTTCTCATTCTTCTCCTGCTGTCTTGTTTCTGCCCATGGTTTGGATGTCTGCTGACCTGCCTGGCTAGCCAAGCTCACAAAAAGCAAAAGCATTGTACTGTCCAACCCCACGTGTATCCCTAGCCCCTCTGTTCTTTCTCTTTCCATCTTCTCTGGCTCTCTTGGCCTCCTGGCCTCTTCTCTGGTTCTCTCTTGGCCTCCTGGCCTCTTCTCTGGTTCTCTCTTGGCCTCCTGGCCTCTTCTCTGGTTTCTCTCTTGGCCTCCTGGCCTCTTCTCTGGTTCTCTCTTGGCCTCCTAGCCTCTTCTCTGGTTCTGGCTTGGTTTCTTGTCCTTTAACCTTCAACTTTTCCTCATACCTCCTCCTGTCCTTTCATAGATGTCCTCATTCTTCTCCTGCTGTCTTGTTTCTGCCCATGGTTTGGATGTCTGCTGACCTGCCTGGCTAGCCAAGCTCACAAAAACCAAAATCGCTGTACTGTCCACCCCAAGTTCATCTCACGCCCGTCTGTTCTTTCTCTTTCCATCTTCTCTGGCTCTGTTTTGATCTCTTGGCCTCTTCTCTGGTTCTGGCTTGGTTTCTTGTCTTTTAACCTTCAACTTTTCCTCATACCTCCTCCTGTCCATTCATAGACGTCCTCATTCTTCTCCTGCTCTCCTGTTTCTGCTTATTGCTTGGATATCTTCTCACCGGCCTGACTTTCTGAGCCCACAAAAAGCAGAAGGCCTCTTGAACTAAATCCTCCCCCTCCAAGTCCATCGGCTGATTTTGGAAAGGTCCGTGTGTGGCCGAACCAGAAATTGAAGGGCATGCTTCACGACGCGTGATCACGTAAAGTCCCCCCTCATCACTGAGCCCCCAATTCACATATACCGTGAAGCGAACTGCACACTTCTCCCACCGTAACACGTTCCTGGTCCTCTGGTCTTGGGCTCATCTTCTAATCTTTGTCGTTCTGTCTCTAGAGAGGCTCCAACTACGGCTCCTTGCTCACCATGGAGGGTCAGTTCCAGGTTTACGCCAAGACGGCGTACTACAAGGTAAATGTGTTTGGTTGTACGGGATCGATGCGGGTGACCGACGCGGAGTGACCGACACGGGGTGACCGGCGCGGGGTGACCGACGCAGGGTGACCGACGCGGGGTGACCGATGTGGGGTGACCGACGCGGGGTGGAACTGACGGGGACAGGAGAGATGACACCAGCAGAGCTGTAATGTAAATGTCACTCCTGGGAGGATGCAGGATCCCTGTACGGCACAGCTGGTCCCATCATCTCACCGATGACCTTTCCTTTCACACATAATTGATGGTCGGCATTTCCTGTCACAACCATTTCCTTTCATCTCCTCTCCAGGGCAACGTTGTGGCTGTGAAGTACCTGAACCAGAAACGCATCGAACTGACCAGGAAGGTTCTCTTCGAGCTGAAATATGTGAGTGTGGAGCCTTCGGATTGTCTGCCTAATGATTCCGAGGGGCCCCGCCGCAAAATGACTCCGAGGGGCCCCGCCGCAAAATGATTCCGAGGGCCCCGCCGCAAAATGACTCCGAGGGCCCCGCCGCAAATCCACACATTGGTGTCACTCCACTTTCGGGGGGGGGGGGGGGTCGAACATCCTCAACTCATGTGATCGAACTTCTCCTCCTCAGACTTTCCAGTATGAGGGCCACAGAGTATGCCTTACAAAGATTCCCATGTCAACAAAACGTCCCCCCTTATATCACAATCCCCCCTTACTTCAGGGTCCCCCCTTACATCACAATCCCCCCTTACTTCAGGGTCCCCCCTTACATCACAATCCCCCCTCACTTCAGGGTCCCCCCTTACATCACAATCCCCCCTCACTTCAGGGTCCCCCCTTATATCACAATCCCCCCTCACTTCAGGGTCCCCCCCCTTATATCACAATCCCCCCTCACTTCAGGGTCCCCCCCTTATATCACAATCCCCCCTTACTTCAGGGTCCCCCCTTATATCACAATCCCCCCTTACTTCAGGGTCCCCCCTTACATCACAATCCCCCCTTACTTCAGGGTCCCCCCCTTATATCACAATCCCCCCTCACTTCAGGGTCCCCCCCTTATATCACAATCCCCCCTTACTTCAGGGTCCCCCCTTACATCACAATCCCCCCTTACTTCAGGGTCCCCCCCTTATATCACAATCCCCCCTCACTTCAGGGTCCCCCCCTTACATCACAATCCCCCCTCACTTCAGGGTCCCCCCTTACATCACAATCCCCCCTTACTTCAGGGTCCCCCCCTTACATCACAATCCCCCTCACTTCAGGGTCCCCCCCCCTTACATCACAATCCCCCCTCACTTCAGGGTCCCCCCTTACATCACAATCCCCCCTTACTTCAGGGTCCCCCCCTTACATCACAATCCCCCCCTCACTTCAGGGTCCCCCCCTTATATCACAATCCCCCCTCACTTCAGGGTCCCCCCCCTTATATCACAATCCCCCCTCACTTCAGTGTCCCCCCCTTACATCACAATCCCCCCTCACTTCAGGGTCCCCCCTTACATCACAATCCCCCCTTACTTCAGGGTCCCCCCTTACATCACAATCCCCCCTTACTTCAGGGTCCCCCCCTTACATCACAATCCCCCCTCACTTCAGGGTCCCCCCCTTATATCACAATCCCCCCTTACTTCAGTGTCCCCCCCTTACATCACAATCCCCCCTTACTTCAGGGTCCCCCCCTTATATCACAATCCCCCCTCACTTCAGGGTCCCCCCCTTACATCACAATCCCCCCTCACTTCAGGGTCCCCCCTTACATCACAATCCCCCCTTACTTCAGGGTCCCCCCCCTTACATCACAATCCCCCCTCACTTCAGGGTCCCCCCCTTACATCACAATCCCCCCTCACTTCAGGGTCCCCCCCTTACATCACAATCCCCCCTCACTTCAGGGTCCCCCCCCCTTATATCACAATCCCCCCTCACTTCAGGGTCCCCCCCCCTTACATCACAATCCCCCCCCTTACTTCAGGGTCCCCCCCTTACATCACAATCCCCCCTTACTTCAGGGTCCCCCCCTTACATCACAATCCCCCCTTACTTCAGGGTCCCCCCTTACATCACAATCCCCCCTTACTTCAGGGTCCCTGGGACCAAGGACAGTCAGGCTGGGGAGGAAAGGGGTGGGGCCAAGGACAGTCACACTGGGGAGGAAAGGGGTGGGGCCAAGGACAATCAAGCTGGGGAAGAAAGGGGTGGGGCCAAGGACAGTCAGGCTGGGGAGGAAAGGGGTGGGGCCAAGGACAGTCAGGCTGGAGAGAAAGGTCTAGATAATGCTGGATGTCTTCCAGCCAGGAAATGGGGCGGAGCTCTATCTGGAGGCAGAGTGGGGTAAGGGGGCTACACTCAGGGCCGGGGTAGGGGGGGAGAGGGGTACGGGGGCTACACTCAGGGCCGGGGATAGGGGAAGAGGTGTAGGAGGACTTAGGTAGGGAAAGTTTTCAGGAAACACTGCTGGTCCCTCACACCAGCCATGATCTGACTGTATTGTATAGAGAGGCACAGAGACCCAGTGATGACATCATCAGGTATAAAATAAGATATGCAATGGAAAGATTATGTTTAGGAATGTCATTATTATGTTAATGAGGGGGAGGGGAAAGATGAAACTTCAGCTTTAACCCTTTCCTGGTCAGCCGGTCATTGGGAATAATTGGCAGTGCTTTCCACTGGAGATCGCTCGGCAATGGCCGGTTGTCGGGGATCACATGAGAATTCTGAGACCTCACCCCCAAAAAAACAAGTCACTAGGGGCCGCTGCTGTGTCCATGTTCTGTGGGGTCCCCTTAACATGGAGGAGGTGTCGGGGGGGAGATATTCGTTATACAATGTATCGATCTTCCCAATAATCATCTCCTTTCCCATTGCAGATGAGAGACGTACAGAACGAACATTTGACCCGATTTGTCGGCTCGTGTATAGACCCCCCCAATATCTGTATACTGACCGAGTACTGCCCCCGGGGGAGCCTGCAGGTGAGTACTCCACCATAGAAGATGTGCAGAGCATCGCTCCCTCCCCTCCCCCCCCAGATCCTACATTCTCTCCACCTCTCTAGAGATTGATATGATATAATATGGCTCCACCCTACGCGTTTCGTCACACATGACGTCATCAGGGACACAATACATATAGATATATTCTGCAGATGATCCCATCACTGATCCTTCTAGAGCTCTGCAGAGCATCGCTCCCTCCCCTCCCCCTCCTGACAGATCCATATTGATATATTCTGCAGATTATCCCATCACTGATCCTTCTAGGGATCTGCAGAACATCGCTCCATCCCATCCCCCTCTTCAGGAATCCATATTGATATATGCTGCAGATTATTCCACCACTGATCCCTCTAGAGATCTACAGAACATCGCTCCATCCCCTCCCCCTCCTGACAGATCCATATTGATATATTCTGCAGATTATCCCATCACTGACCCCTCTAGAGATCTGCAAAACATCGCTCCATCCCCTCCCCCTCCTGACAGATCCATATTGATGTATTCTGCAGATTATTCCATCATTGATCCTTCTAGAGATCTGTAGAACATGACGTCTATTCTGGCTCCATCCTACGCGTTTCGTCACACATGACGTCATCGGGGGCACAATACATATAGATATATTCTGCAGATTATCCCATCACTGATCCTTCTAGGGATCTGCAGAACATCGCTCCATCCCATCCCCCTCCTCAGGGATCCATATGGATATATTCTGCAGATTATTCCATCGCTGATCCTTCTAGGGATCTGCAGAACATCGCTCCATCCCATCCCCCTCCTCAGGGATCCATATGGATATATTCTGCAGATTATCTCATCACTGACCCCTCTAGAGATCTGCAGAGCATCGCTCCATAATTGTCTATCTCCTCTCTGCAGGATATTCTGGAGAATGAGAGTATTACTCTGGATTGGATGTTCCGATATTCGTTGATAAATGACATTGTGAAGGTAAGCGGGGGGTGGGGGGGGAAGGGGCGGGGGGGCGGGGGCCGCTGATCTCTGTCCTCAGAATGCCGAGCACGTCACCAATCAGGCTGCACTGTAATTGGCAATAATCGATGTAATCAGCATCCATCATCACCTAATGAACGTTCGACTATTACCAACCCATTACAGCTGAACTTTCATCTGCTTATATTTACCCCCCCCCCCCCCTTCCCATCCCCCCTTCCCCCTCCTTCCCTCTCCCCCTCTTCCCTCCCCCCCTCATCAACAAGATAAGGACATTTTTTAATTTGAACCTTTCCATATTCATTACACACCTCATTATAGACATCACTGGGTCTCTGTGCTTCTCTCTGCAAGGCAGGCAGATCATGGCTGGTGGGAGGGGCCAGCAGGGTGCTGTAAGTAACTTCCTGAAAACATCCCAGCACCCCGCCTCACGCTCCCCTCAGTCCTGATGCAATTAGTGGGAGGAGTCATGCAACTAGCAAAATGCCTTACAGGCTGGGTGTCAGTCTGGGGGAGTGAGCAGGCTGTATTGGCATAGGTGACACCCATGCAAATTTGATGTTGGTGGTCCAGATTGGTGGGGAAATACTTGGCCTCTTGTATGGTGTCAGTGGTCCAGTCTGGTGGGGAAATACTTGGCCTCCTGTATGGTGTCAGTGGTCCAATCTGGTGGGGAAATACTTGGCCTCCTGTATGGTGTCAGTGATCCAGTCTGGTGGGGAAATACTTGGCCTCCTGTATGGTGTCAGTGGTCCAGTCTGGTGGGGAAATACTTAGCCTCCTGTATGGTGTCAGTGATCCAGCCTGGTGGGGAAATACTTGGCCTCCTGTATGGTGTCAGTGGTCAGTACTGGTGGGGTACTTAGCCTGTATAATGGTTAGTGGTCCAGGCTGGTGGGAAATACTTAGCCTCCTGTATGGTGTCAGTGGTCCAGTCTGGTGGGGAAATACTTAGCCTCCTGTATGGTGTCAGTGGTCCAGTCTGGTGGGGAAATACTTGGCCTCCTGTATGGTGTCAGTGGTCCACACTGTGGTGAATGTTACTTGGCCTCCTGTATGGTGTCAGTGGTCCACACTGTGGTGAATGTTACTTGGCCTCCTGTATGGTGTCAGTGGCCCACACTGTGGTGAATGTTACTTGGCCTCCTGTATGGTGTCAGTGGCCTCTTGTATGGTGTCAAATGTGATGCTGAGCTGCAGTGACTGGAAGAACTGAAATCCAATGAATGAAAGGGGTGGGGCCAGGGACAGTCAGGCTAGAGTTAGATGACGCTGGGCGTCCTCCAGCCAGGAAAAGAGGCGGAGCTTTGTCTGACACATGGGGCTATAGAACCTCGCTGGAAAGGAAAGTAATCAAAGTGCTATTTTCATGGTCCTGATTCTGCCCCGTTGGGTTGTCCGTCTCTTTCTCCTCCAGGGAATGCTCTTCCTGCACAACAGCGTCATCGGGTCCCACGGGAACCTCAAGTCCTGCAACTGCGTGGTGGACAGCCGCTTCGTCCTGAAGATCACCGACTACGGCCTGGCCAGCTTCCGTGGGGTGGTGGACTCCGAGGATTCTCACGCTTTTTTTGCCAGTAAGATGGAGGATCTCCACTCAGGAGATCATTGGGCGACATGTAGGGGGACATCTGACTGGAGGCAGCTAAAGGACGACCCTCCTTGTGCCACTGTTACCCAAATGTATGAACCTCAAGGTGACCGATAGTACGGGTGGTTGTCATCAAGCTGACCCCTGACCCTAGGTCCTCACTCAGATATCTGGCATACTTTCACTATCCAAAGTGTGTCCTTCTATTGACCTCCTAGTATGGCCTTTCCCAACTAGGGTTCCGTGGAAGTTTGGGGTTCCTCCAGACGTTGCTGGGGATTCCGTGAGCAATTTCTGCCTCTTACATGGGTACCTGATGACATCAGTGACCTTTTTAGTGATCTGTAAGGTGGGGTTCTTCCTACTAAACCTAGGTGTATGGAGCATTCCTCCTATTGACCACGATGTACCATGTGCTGTAGATCTATTAGGGGTTCCTGGAGACCACAAAGGTGTTTCAAGGGTTCCTCCATGCTAAGGTTGTCCTAGTAGAAGGCCTAGAGAAGCAGAATTCCCGATTATCCTGGCAGGTGTTCCTCCATGGGTGAATTTAAGATTTGTATTCGGCTATGTGAAAAATCGGGTCCCACAGGAACCTCAAGTCCTACTACTGCATGATGGACAGCCGCTTCGTTCTGAAGATCACCGGCTACGGCCTGGCCAGCTTCCGTGGGGTGGTGGACTCCGAGGATTCTCACGCTTTTTTTGCCAGTAAGCTGGAGGATCTCCACTCAGGAGATCATTGGGCGACATGTAGGGGGACATCTGACTGGAGGCAGCTAAAGGACGACCCTCCTTGTACCACTGTTACCCAAATGTATGAACCTCAGGGTGACCGTGGTGGTTGTCATCAAGCTGACCCCTGACCCTAGGTCCTGACTCAGATATCTGGCATACTTTCACTATCCAAAGTGTGTCCTTCTACTGACCTCCTAGTATGGCCTTTCTTAACCAGGGTTCCGTGGAAGTTTGGGGTTCCTCCAGACGTTGCTTGGGGTTCCGTGAGCAATGAGCAACTTCTGCCTCTTACATGGGTACCTGATGACATCAGTGACCTTTTCAGTGATCTGTAAGGTGGGGTTCTTCCTACTAAACCTAGGTGTATGGAGCATTCCTCCTTTTGACCACGATGTGCCATGTTCTATAGATCTAGTAGGGGTTCCTGGAGACCACAAAGGTGTTTCAATGGTTCCACCATGCTAAAAATGTTGAGAAAGGTTGTCCTAGTAGAAGGCCTAGAGAAGCAGAATTCCCGATTATCCTGGCAGGTGTTCCTCCACGGGTGAATTTCAGATTTGTATTCAGCTATGTGAAAAATTGGGTCCAAGTGGAGCTTCAAAGGGAAGGGAAAGGGATGTTGTTCTGATATCGAAGTCTTCTCGCTTTCTGCTGGCCGTGCCATTCCGAGGTGTTTCCTCATCCATTGTTGTTGTAGAGCGGCTGTGGACGGCTCCGGAGCTCCTCCGTATGGAATCCCCCAATCCTCAGGGGACCCAAAAAGGAGACGTCTACAGCTTTGGAATCATCCTTCAGGAGATCGCTCTCCGAAACGGGGTCTTCTACATGGACAGCGGTGACTACAGCCCCAAAGGTGGGTCTCCTGACCAGTGTGCTGACCCCACGCAGGCTTCAGTAGATTCCTTCTTCCTCTCGTTTTCTCTCCTGTGGTTCCTCTCATTTCCCAAACTCTTCTTTGTTTTCCTTTCAGAAATAATAGAACGCGTGAAGAGCCAGGAAAAGCCGTACTTCCGACCGTCCACCAACCTGTACTGCCATATCCAGGAACTGGGGGTGCTCATGCAGAGGTGCTGGGCAGAGGACCCTCTAGACAGGCCGGACTTCAACCAGATTAAAGTTCTGCTACGAAAGTTCAACAGGTGAGGATCTGCATGCCGAGAACGCCTCTGGGTTCAACTTCCTCCTATTTTCATCTCTGAAGAACCCTACTAAATGGGGCGGGGGGGGGGGGGGGGGGGGGGGGGGGGGGGGGGGGGAGATATCCATAGAGGGGTCATGGCCGGCATTTACGTATGCAGCATTATTTAGATGTTGTTTTAGTTGGTATTGAGGGACCTAATGTGTGCCAAGAAACATTCCCCACCAGTCTGGTCCTCTGACACCATACATGAGACCAAGTAGATTTCCCCACCAATCTGGATCATGGACATGGTACAGGAGTTCAAGATACATTCTCCACCAGTCTGGACTACTGACACCATAAGGGGGGGGGGGGGGGGGGGGGGGGGCAGGTAATATTCCCGAAAAATCTGCACTATTGACACCATACAGGAGGCCAAGTAACATTCCCCACCAGTGTGGACCACTGACACCATACAGGAGGCCAAGCATTTCCCGACCAGACTGGACCACTGACACCATACAGGAGGCCAAGTATTTCCCCACCAGACTGGACCACTGACACCATACAGGAGGCCAAGTATTTCCCCACCAGACTGGACCACTGACACCATACAGGAGGCCAAGTAACATTCCCCACCAGTGTGGACCATTGACACCATACAGAAGGCCAAGTAACATTCCCCACCAGTGTGGACCACTGACACCATACAGAAGGCCAAGTAACATTCCCCACCAGTGTGGACCACTGACACCATACAGAAGGCCAAGTAACATTCCCCACCAGTGTGGACCACTGACACCATACAAGATGCCAAATAATATTCCCCACAGTGTGGACCACTGACATTATACAGAAGACCAAAGTAAGATTGACACAATGCAGGAGTCCAAGCATTTCCCCACCAGACTAGACCACTGACACCATACAGGAGGCCAAGTATTTCCCCACCAGACTGGACCACTGACACCATACAGGAGGCCAAGTATTTCCCCACCAGACTGGACCACTGACACCATACAGGAGGCCAAGCATTTCCCCACCAGACTGGACCACTGACACCATACAGGAGGCCAAGTATTTCCCCACCAGACTGGACCACTGACACCGTACAGGAGGCCAAGTATTTCCCCACCAGACTGGACCACTGACACCATACAGGAGGCCAAGTATTTCCCCACCAGACTGGACCACTGACACCATACAGGAGGCCAAGTATTTCCCCACCAGACTGGGCCACTGACACCATACAGGAGGCCAAGCATTTCCCCACCAGACTGGACCACTGACACCGTACAGGAGGCCAAGTATTTCCCCACCAGACTGGACCACTGACACCATACAGGAGGCCAGGTATTTCCCCACCAGACTGGACCACTGACACCATACAGGAGGCCAAGTATTTCCCCACCAGACTGGGCCACTGACACCATACAAGTGGTCAAGTAACCTTCCCCACAGTGTGCACCACTGACACCACAAAAAAGGTCAAGTAATTTTCCCTACCAGTCTGGTCCACTGACACCATACAGGAGGCCAAGTAGCATTCCCCTCCAGTGTGGACCACTGACACCACAAAAAGGTCAAGTAACTTTCCCTACCAGACTGGTCCACTGACACCAAACAATAGGCCAAGTAAAATTCCTCACCAGTCTGAACCATTGACACCATACAGGAGGCCAAGAACATTTCCCACCAGTCTAGACCACTAGTGTTATACAGAAGACCAAAGTAAGATTGACACAATACAGGAGGCCACGTATTTCCCCACCAGACTGGACCACTGACACCATACAGGAGGCCAAGTAACATTCCCCACCAGACTGGACCACTGACACCATGCAGGAGGCCAAGTATTTCCCCACCAGACTGGACCACTGACACCATGCAGGAGGCCACCAGACTGGACCACTGACACCATACAGGAGGCCAAGTAACATTCCCCACCAGACTGGACCACTGACACCATGCAGGAGGCCAAGTATTTCCCCACCAGACTGGACCACTGACACCATGCAGGAGGCCACCAGACTGGACCACTGACACCATACAGGAGGCCAAGTAACATTCCCCACCAGACTGGACCACTGACACCATACAGGAGGCCAAGTAACATTCCCCACCAGACTGGACCACTGACACCATGCAGGAGGCCACCAGACTGGACCACTGACACCATGCAGGAGGCCAAGCATTTCCCCACCAGATTGGACCGCTGACACCATACAAGAGGTCAAGTAACATTCCCCACCAGTGTGGACCATCTACACCAAATTTTGACTCTTCATGTTGCAGCAACAATGGAGATTGGTTAGACGGGACAATGTCAGGTTCTGGTGATCCGGTGCTCCCTGTAGCCTCGTTTTCTTGCTCTTAGCTGGCAGAAGGAACCCTGGCTGGTCTTCTGTAGTCCATCTTCTTCGAGGTTCCATAGGTTGGGACTTGTTCCTCACCAGTATGGACCACTAGCACCGTTTGTTAAAAGTTCATAGAATTGTGCCTTGTACCCCAAAATCTCGCTCTCCATCTGTAGGTTGCAACAGAAGTTGCGATTGGTCAGAGCAGGCCACGCTTTTCCAATATCGTCCAGTTCCGGTGTTTCGGTGCTCCCTGTAGCCTCCCTTCCTTGTTCTCAGCCTGCAAGGAGGACCTCCGTTGGTCTTCTCGGTTGGTCTTCTGTAGTCCAGCCTCCTCAAGGTCCCTTCTGTTGAGTGTTTAGATTGGACCTGCTGTAAAGAGACGTTGTTGGAGCATCTGTGGACTTCCAGTCCCCGCTTCCAGGAACATCAGAGGAGTTCCGTGTGTTGGTGGTCCTCTGAGTATTGTTGTGTTCGTGGTCCGCAGGGAGAACAGCACCAACATCTTGGACAATCTGCTGTCCCGCATGGAGCAGTACGCCAACAACCTGGAGGAGCTGGTGGAGGACCGGACCCAGGCCTACCTGGAGGAGAAACGCAAGGCTGAGGCTCTTCTCTACCAGATACTTCCTCAGTGAGTATGAGGACAGAGGGCTGCCCAAACGTTGCTTCTTCTTGTCTGCTGCACCTCCGGCAGAGCAGAGTATTTCAGGAGAGGAGAGTTATAGAGGAAGGAGCGGAGTCCTCCAGCAGTGCAGAGTATTTCAGGAGAGGAGAGTTATAGAGGAAGGAGCGGAGTCCTCCAGCAGTGCAGAGTATTTCAGGAGAGGAGAGGAAGGAGCGGAGTCCTCCAGCAGTGCAGAGTATTTCAGGAGAGGAGAGGAAGGGGCGGAGTCCTCCAGTAGTGCAGAGTATTTCAGGAGAGGAGAGTTATAGAGGAAGGGGCGGAGTCCTCCAGCAGTCAGAGTATTTCAGAGTATTTCAGGAGAGGAGAGTTATAGAGGAAGGAGCGGAGTCCTCCAGCAGTGCAGAGTATTTCAGGAGAGGAGAGGAAGAAGGGCGGAGTCCTCCAGTAGTGCAGAGTATTTCAGGAGAGGAGAGTTATAGAGGAAGGGGGCGGAGTCCTCCAGCAGTGCAGAGTATTTCAGGAGAGGAGAGGAAGGAGCGGAGTCCTCCAGCAGTGCAGAGTATTTCAGGAGAAGGAGCGGAGTTATAGAGGAAGGAGAGGAGTCCTCCAGCAGTGCAGAGTATTTCAGGAGAGGAGAGTCACGAGTCAGGAGAGGAGAGTCATGTCATGCCTCTTTTCCCCCTTGCAGTTCTGTGGCCGAGCAGCTGAAGAGAGGGGAGACAGTGCAGGCCGAGGCCTTTGATAGCGTCACCATCTACTTCAGCGACATTGTGGGGTTCACGGCGCTCTCGGCTGAAAGCACGCCAATGCAGGTACTGCGGAGTGACTCTTTAGTCCTCCTGCCCCCATGTGTCCTCCTCTCCTCCTGTCTTCCTGCCCCCATGTGTCCTTCTCTCCACCTGTCCTCCTCTCCTCCTGCCCCAATGTGTCCTCCTCTCCTCCTGTCCTCCTGCCACCATGTGTCCTTCTCTCCTCCTGTCCTCCTGCCCCCATGTGTCCTTCTCTCCTCCTGTCCTCCTCTCCTCCTGCACTCAGGGTCCTCCTCTCCTCCTGTCCTCCTCTCCTCCTGCACTCAGGGTCCTCCTCTCCTCCTGTCCTCCTCTCCTCGTGTCATCCTCTCCTCCTGTCCTGTCATCCTCTCCTCTCTCTCCTCCTGTCGTCCTCTCCTCCTGTCGTCCTCTCCTCCTGTCCTCTTCTCCTCCTCTCCTCCTGTCATCTTCTCCTCCTGTCCTCCTGTCATCCTCTCCTCCTCTCCTCCTGTCATCCTCTCCTGTCCTCCTCTCCTCCTGTCCTCCTCTCCTCCTGTCCTCCTCTCCTCCTGTCATCCTCCTCCTCCTGTCCTCCTCTCCTCCTGTCGTCCTGTCCTCCTGTCATCCTCTCCTCCTGTTGTTGTCCTCTCCTCTCCTGTCGTCCTGTCCTTCTTCCTCCTTTCCTCCTGTCCTCCTCTCCTCCTGTCCTCCTCTCCTCCTGTCATCCTCTCTCCTCCTGTCCTCTCTCCTCTCCTCCTCTTCTCCTGTCGTCCTCTCCTCCTCTCCTCCTGTCATCCTCTCCTGTCCTCCTCTCCTCCTGTCCTCTTCTCCTCCTGTCATCCTCTCCTCCTGTCCTCCTCTCCTCCTGTCCTCCTCTCCTCCTGTCGTCCTGTCCTCCTGTCATCTCTCTCCTCCTGTCTCCTCCTCCTCCTGTCGTCCTGTCCTCCTCCTTTCCTCCTGTCCTCCTTCTCCTCCTGTCATCCTCTCCTCCTGTCCTCCTCTCCTCCTTTCCTTCCTGTCCTCCTCTCCTCCTGTCCTCCTCTCCTCCTGTCATCCTCTCCTCCTGTCCTCCTGTTTCCTCTCCTCCTGTCGTCCTCTCCTCCTCTCCTCCTGTCGTCCTCTCCTCCTGTCGTCCTCTCCTCCTCTCCTCCTGTGTCCTCTCCTCCTGTCTCCTTCCTCCTGTCGTCCTGTCCTCCTCCTCTCCTCCTGTCCTCCTCTCCTCCTGTCGTCTTCTCCTCCTGTCGTCCTCTCTCCTCCTGTCGTCCTGTCCTCCTCCTGTCCTCCTCTCCTCCTGTCCTCCTCTCCTCCTGTCATCCTCTTCCTCCTGTTTCTCCTCTCCTCCTGTCCTCCTGTCATCCTCTCCTCCTGTCGTCCTCTCCTCCTCTCCTCCTGTCGTCCTCTCCTCCTGTCGTCCTGTCCTCCTCTCCTCCTGTCGTCCTCTCCTCCTGTCGTCCTGTCCTCCTCTCCTCCTGTCCTCCTCTCCTCCTGTTCTCCTCTCCTCCTGTCATCCTCTCCTCCTCTCTCCTCCTGTCGTCCTCCTCCTCCTGTCGTCCTCTCCTCCTGTCGTCCTCTCCTCCTCCTGTCCTCCTCCTGTCCTCCTCTCCTCCTGTCCTCCTCTCCTCCTCTCCTCCTGTCGTCCTGTCCTCCTTCCTGTCCTCCTCCTCTCCTCCTGTCCTCCTCTCCTCCTGTCCTCCTCTCCTCCTCTCCCCGCCCGGCGCCTTGTTCTTCGGTCTCACGGTTCCTCTTTCAGGTGGTCACGCTCCTGAACGATCTCTACACTTGCTTTGACGCCATCATTGACAACTTTGACGTGTACAAGGTGAGGAGCGCGGTGGGCGGAGGTCTCCCTCGCCATGCTGAACTCTCAGCTCTTTCCTTCTCCCAATGTAATAATAAATCGTCCTTTTCTCTGGGATGATCACAATTGTCAGGTGGAGACGATCGGCGACGCCTACATGGTGGTCTCCGGGCTGCCGGTCCGCAATGGGAAGCTCCACACCCGGGAGATCGCGCGGATGTCTCTGGCCTTGCTGGACGCTGTCAAGACGTTTAAAATCCGACATCGACCCGCGCAGCAGCTGCGGCTTCGGATAGGAATTCATACAGGTGAGGAGGGGGCGGGGCCAGGTCTATCACCTGCCTAGGGTCCCACCCACAGCTGGAGGTAGGCATGGACCGACTCCAGGAACCGGCGCCACGTCTGTGGATCTACAGCCATGGACACCGACGGTCCGCAGGACTAGCTGTGCTTCTGGGTGTCAGACTGGGGGCCAGATCCACTGGGAGGGGCGTCCCTGAGACCACATGAAGAGGCCGGTGTCACAGTGGCACAAAGGGAGTGCTGGAGACACAGGAGTGCTGGAGACACAGGAGTGCAGGGGACACAGGAGTGCAGGGGACGTTAGAGACACAGGAGTGCAGGGGACACAGAAGTGCAGGAGACACAGGAGTGCAGGGGACACAGAAGAGACACTGGAGACAGAGGAGTGCTGGAGACACAGGAGTGCAGGGGACGTTGGAGACACAGGAGTGCAGGGGACGCTGGAGACACAGGAGTGCAGGGGACGCTGGAGACACAGGAGTGCAGGAGACACAGGAGTGCAGGGGACGCTGGAGACACAGGAGACACAGGAGTGCAGGGGATGCCGGCGACACAGGAGTGCAGGAGACACAGGAGTGCAGGGGACGGTGGAGACACAGGAGTGCAGGAGACACTGGAGACACAGGAGTGCAGGAGACACAGGAGTGCAGGGGACGCTGGAGACACAGGAGTGCAGGAGACACAGGAGTGCAGGAGACACAGGAGTGCAGGGGACGCTGGAGACACAGGAGTGCAGGGGACGTTGGAGACACAGGAGTGCAGGGGACGCTGGAGACGCAGGAGTGCAGGAGACACAGGAGTGCAGGGGACGCTGGAGACACAGGAGTGCAGGAGACACAGGAGTGCAGGGGACACAGGAGTGCAGGGGACACAGGAGTGCAGGGGACACAGGAGACGCAGGAGTGCAGGGGACACTGGAGACACAGGAGTGCAGGAGACACAGGAGTGCAGGAGACACAGGAGTGCAGGGGACACTGGAGTGCAGGGGACACTGGACACACAGGAGTGCATGAGACACAGGAGTGCTGGAGACACAGGAGTGCAGGAGACACAGGAGTGCAGGAGACACTGGAGTGCAAGGGACACTGGAGTGCAGGGGACACTGGAGACACAGGAGTGCTGGGGACACTGGAGACACAGGAGTGCTGGGGATACTGGAGTGCAAGGGACACTGGAGTGCAGGGGACACTGGAGACACAGGAGTGCAGGGGACACTGGAGACACAGGAGTGCAGGGGACACTGGAGACACAGGAGTGCTGGGGACACTGGAGACACAGGAGTGCAGGGGACACTGGAGACACAGGAGTGCAGGGGACACTGGAGTGCAGGGGAGTGCAGAAGTGGAGACACTGGAGTGCAGGAGTGCAGGGGACGCTGGAGACACAGGAGTGCAGGAGACACAGGAGTGCAGGAGTGCAGGGGACACTGGAGTGCAGGAGTGCAGGGGACACAGGAGTGCAGGGGACGCTGGAGACACAGGAGTGCAGGGGACACAGGAGTGCAGGAGTGCAGGGGACACTGGAGACACAGGAGTGCAGGGGACACTGGAGACACAGGAGTGCAGGGGACACTGGAGACACACTGCGCAGTGGGTGGATCTGCTACCTGGACCTGTGCTGTGTGACTTCCTCTCTCCACGCATCACCAGTCAGTCTCATGGTGGCTGAGAGGAACTTCACTTTGATGAGGCTTACTATACATCATACACAGGGGGTGCAGTGGGTGTGTCTTGGATTCCACTCCTGCAATGCAAATAGGTTAGCAAAGGGGTTCCCAGATCATGGAGGAAGTGGGGGGAGGGGCAGGTGTACTCCTTAGCTGGTAAAGCTACTATGAGGGTCCATGATATAATCCCGTACAATAATCCTAGGCAGTCCTGCTTGTCCTACAACTAAGAGCTTGTGTCTGTGTAGGTCCCGTCTGTGCCGGAGTTGTGGGCCTTAAGATGCCTCGATACTGCCTCTTCGGAGATACGGTGAACACGGCATCACGCATGGAGTCCAATGGCGAAGGTGAGATTGCCTGTCTGGATGAGGTATGTGAAGACAACAACTGTAATGCCCGGTCTTGTCTTCTCTTGGAGGAGCAGTAGATGTTTCTTTAGGGTCCTAGAAGGTAGGATTTCTTCAGTTGTGTCCTCCATAGATAGAGCGCTGGGCTCTGGGTTAGAGGTTATTGAAATGTCCACTTGAAATGAGCATAAAGCACCAGATGCCCCCATTGCTTTGGTTCAGGGGTCTCCAAACTTTCTAAACACATGGCCAGTTAACTGTCCTTTGGCTTCAAGAAGTTCCAGACTGTGGCCAGTGGGTGTAGACAATGCCTCATCGTTGGTTTTAAACAAGGAAGAAGGCCCCATGGTTGGTATCAATGGGAAGTTGAGTGCCACCGAGGGTGTCAGTGGGAGGAATGGTGTCCCGTCAGTTGTTGGAATAGTGCCCCAAGGGCCAGATAAAGGCAAGCAAAGGGCCATATCTGGCCACCACTGCTTTCGTTGATAAGATGGTCATTAAAATGGTCCATCAGCACGTGTGACCAGTTCTAACCATGAACCTTCCATCCTTCTGCCTTTCATGTGGTTGATATTTTTGTGTTTTGTAGCACTAAAGATCCACGTTTCCACAGACACACGGAATGTCTTAGAAGAGTTCAGCTGCTTTGAGCTGGAACTGAGAGGTGACGTAGAGATGAAGGTAATGGGCATGTTCTAGATAAGTTCTACTCATTTGTCAGGGTCCTGTCCACGGCAGAAGTTCTGGAAGATCTGGCATTTCTGCCAGTACCCTGCATGGCCGCAGAAGCACACATTAGCCTCAGTTTGGCCTTCCTCAAGTGGCTGGATGATACTATCACGTACCTGGTGATGGAGGCCAATGGAGAGAGGGCTTCTCTTGCGGCTAAGTTCCAGACTCCCCTGAGAGTGGGACAGCGGGAGTCAGGCCCAAAGTGGCACAGGTCGCCTGTGTTAGCACTCCTACAGGCGACCTGTGCCACTTTGGGCCTGACTCCCGCTGTCCCACTCTCAGGGGAGTCTGGAACTTAGCCGCAAGGGAAGACCTCTCTCCATTGGCCTCCATCACCAGGTACGTGATAGTATCATCCAGCCACTTGAGGAAGTGATGAGCCTCCTTATAAAGGCCGTCTGGCACCAAACTGAGGCTAATGTGTGCTTCTGCGGCCACGCAGGGTACTGGCAGAAATGCCATATCTTCCAGAACTTCTGCCGTGGACAGGACCCTGACATCATTCTTCATAGAATGGTCAGTGCTCTTTATACCTCATTCCATCTCTTTCCCAGGGCAAAGGCAAGGTCCGAACCTACTGGCTACTGGGCGAACGAAGCAGCAGCAGCACCCACGGGTGACACCTTGCTGGCCTTCACAGGGGATTATGTGACTTGGGGTACTCTCAATCCTCAACAAGGCCATGTTTGTACCTCACAGACATCTCCACCTCACCGTGGCAATTGACACTAAGGAAGGTGGTGGAGTAAACTGCCAAAACGTGGACCAAAGCCAAAGGAGGCTTGGCCTCCCTCACACGTAGACATGTGAACCAGCACACGCAACCATGCCGTAATGAAAGATGGAGCAGTTGAGGGACTACAAACATCCATGGCAAGGAGCTGTCTCCAAATTGTAAATGGTCTCCCCCACTTGAAAGACCAGATCTGCATTGCGTCTATAGAAGTTCCTGTCCAACACACTAGGTTAAGGCTGAATCATCTGAAGAACGGACGTACGTTCCTCAGAATGCATCGGTGATGTCCTTCAAGAATCAAGTAGCAAATAAGGACCTACAACACCAAAGTCTCTCCTCTGAACTGACAAGGATGGTACTAGCCATCCCATCTACCTCACCTGAGGTCTCTCTATCATGGACGCCTTCATCAAGACCACCCTTCCCTTTCAGCTAGTTAAACCCTAACTTATTTCATATCTCTGTTCCTTGGTTCTAGAGCTTTGTGAGGGTTCAAAAGTGACTGAACCCAGCAGACCAATGGACCCCACAAGCTGGAGCTTCAAGAAGAAAGAACCTCTGATGGGAAATCTTGGCCTCCGACGCCCAACGAAGATTTTATGGGCTACAAATGTGAAGTGGACGTTCCGAATTTACTGCTATAAATATTTCTAAATTCTCGATGAGTTATAGTATTTTTGGGTACATATGGATTTTTGTAGCTCGGTGGTGGAGGAGGCTGTGCGGTTTTTAAGAGGGTTGGGTGAGAAAAGTGGAAAATTGTGTCAAAGACTTACCGTCATTTTCTTTTCCAGGTGCCAGTCCATGGCAGCATACGGTACTGTAGTGTCCCACCATGTTGGTGGCAGGAAAATGGAAAACTGTATCAGATAGTTACCATCTTTTCCTTTCCTGATACCAATCCATGGCAGATACTACCACGTGTTTGCCGCCATTTTGGTGGCAGGAAATGGAAAATTGTATCAAAGACTTACCGAAATTTCCTTTTCCTGATACCAATCCATGGCAGATACTACCACGTGTTTGCCGCCATGTTGGTGACAGGAAATGGAAAATTGTATCAAAGACTTACCATCATTTTCTTTTCCTGGTACCAATCCATGGCAAATATTACCACGTGTTTGCCGCCATGTTGGTGGCAGGAAATGGAAAATTGTATCAAAGACTTACCGAAATTTCCTTTTCCTGGTACCAATCCATGGCAGATACTACCACGTGTTTGCTGCCATGTTGGTGGCAGGCAATGGAAAATTGTATCAAAGACTTACCATCATTTTCTTTTCCTGGTACCAATCCATGGCAGATACTACCACGTGTTTGCCGCCATGTTGGTGGCAGGAAATGGAAAATTGTATCAAAGACTTACCGAAATTTCCTTTTCCTGGTACCAATCCATGGCAGATACTACCACGTGTTTGCCGCCATGTTGGTGGCAGGAAATGGAAAATTGTATCAAAGACTTACCGAAATTTCCTTTTCCTGGTACCAATCCATGGCAGATACTACCACGTGTTTGCCGCCATGTTGGCGGCAGGCAATGGAAAATTGTATCAAAGACTTACCGAAATTTCCTTTCCTGGTACCAATCCATGGCAGATACTACCACGTGTTTGCCGCCATGTTGGCGGCAGGCAATGGAAAATTGTATCAAAGACTTACCGAAATTTCCTTTTCCTGGTACCAATCCATGGCAGATACTACCACGTGTTTGCCGCCCGCCATGTTGGTGGCAGACTTACCAATGGAAAATTGTATCAAAGAAAACTGTATACCGAAATTTCCTTTTCCTGGTACCAATCCATGGCAGATACTACCACGTGTTTGCCGCCATGTTGGCGGCAGGCAATGGAAAATTGTATCAAAGACTTACCGAAATTTCCTTTTCCTGGTACCAATCCATGGCAGATACTACCACGTGTTTGCCGCCATGTTGGCGGCAGGCAATGGAAAATTGTATCAAAGACTTACCGAAATTTCCTTTTCCTGGTACCAATCCATGGCAGATACTACCACGTGTTTGCCGCCATGTTGGCGGCAGGCAATGGAAAATTGTATCAACTTACCATCATTTTCTTTTCCTGGTACCAATCCATGGCAGATACTACCACGTGTTTGCCGCCATGTTGGTGGCAGGAAATGGAAAATTGTATCAAAGACTTACCGAAATTTCTTTTCCTGGTACCAATCCATGGCAAATATTACCACGTGTTTGCCGCCATGTTGGTGGCAGGCAATGGAAAATTGTATCAAAGACTTACCGTCATTTTCTTTTCCTGGTACCAATCCATGGCAGATACTACCACGTGTTTGCCGCCATGTTGGTGACAGGAAATGGAAAATTGTATCAAAGACTTACCGTCATTTTCTTTTCCTGGTACCAATCCATGGTGGCATACAGTACAGTAGTATCCCGCCATGTTGGTGTCAGGAAAATGGAAAATTGTATCAGATAGTTACCATCGGTTTCCTTTCCTGGCATCAATCCATGGCAGATACCACCACGTGTATGCCACCATATTGGCACCAGGAAAACAGATTTTCTCGTACTCATCTAGAACAGATGAATACCGATTCCCATGGGGGGGGTCAGTCTTCTTTCCCGTACAAGTAGAGGGAAGAGTTGGATAGATACCGTTTTACTGCATCAGACTGTCGGTCAGTAGCAGGGGCGGACTGACCATTTGGAAACTCGGGCACTGCCTGAGGGCCCAGGGTCAGTAGGGGGCCCCATGAGATGCCCCTGGTACCTTTTTCATAGGCTTTTTTGCGTTTGGGCAAGGACACAGGGGCCCCATGATCCCCTATTGCCCGGGGGCCCCATGAGTTGTCAGTCCGCCCCTGGTCAGTAATTTAAAGATTCACAACATCCAATGGTGAGGGACATCAAAGGTCATGGATTGGGGGGCATCAGATCAGAGAGAAGATCCGTAGAGGGATCCAAGTCTGCAGATAACAATATAAATGGGCCCATTGTGGAGAGCCACACACAGGCTGGCGGCGTACGGGAACATAAAGCCCCGGCGGCCCGCTAACGATTAAATGAGTTCATTTTCTACTTGAGATTCAAGTCTTTGGTTTCAGACGAGAAAGTAATTAACATGATTACAATGAGCTATTCACCGCGCAGAGCCGACGCTTCCCCGCTGAGAGCCGACCGCCGTGCATACAGAGGACCTCTGGCCGCTCCGCAGACGCGCCTGTCGCTTTAAAGCTGATGGCGCTCATTAAGGGGGAGCGAGTCAGCGAGAAGGCGAGAAATTGGACAATTCGTACTGATGTCTGTCTGTGGAGGAGAGAAGAGAAGGATCTGTGTGCTCCTCACCGCCGTACCCCTTCTATTGTCATTAACTCCTTCTATAGTCATGGCCCCTTCCATCACCATGACCCCTTCCATCACCATGACCCCTTCCATCACCATGACCCCCTTCCATCACCATGACCTCCTTCCATCACCATGACCCCCTTCCATCACCTTGACCCCTTCCATCACCATGACCTCCTTCCATCACCATGACCCCCTTCCATCACCATGACCCCCTTCCATCACCATGACCTCCTTCCATCACCATGACCCCCTTCCATCACCATGACCCCCTTCCATCACCTTGACCCCTTCCATCACCATGACCCCCTTCCATCACCTTGACCCCTTCCATCACCATGACCCCCTTCCATCACCTTGACCCCTTCCATCACCATGACCCCTTCCATCACCATGACCCCCTTCCATCACCATGACCTCCTTCCATCACCATGACCCACTTCCTTCACCATGACCCCTTCCATCACCATGACCCCTTCCATCACCATGACCCACTTCCATCACCATGACCCCTTCCATCACCATGACCCCCTTCCATCACCATGACCCCTTCCATCACCATGAACCCCTTCCATCACCATGACCCACTTCCTAGACCATGACCCCCTTCCATCACCAGGACCCCTTCCATCACCATGACCCCCTTCCATCACCATGACCCCTTCCATCACCATGACCCCTTCCATCACCATGACCCCCTTCCATCACCATGACCCCTTCCATCACCATGACCTCCTTCCATTGCCATGACCCCCCTTCTATCCCCATTACCCTCTTCCTTCACCATTACCCCTTTCCTTCACCATGACCCCCTTCCGTTGCCATGACCCCGTTCCGTCGCCATGACCCCCTTCCATCGCCATGACCCCCTTCTATCCCCATTACCCTTTTCCATCACCATGACCCCGTTCCATCACCATGACCCCTTCCATCACCATGACCCCCTTCCATCACCATGACCTCCTTCCATCACCATGACCCCCTTCCATCACCATGACCCCTTCCTTCACCATGACCCCCTTCCTTCACCATGACCCCCTTCCATCACCATGACCCCCTTCCATCACCATGACCCCCTTCCATCACCATGACCCACTTCCTTCACCATGACCCCCTTCCGTCACCATGACCTCCTTCTGTCACCATGACCCCTTCTGTCACCATGACCCCTTCTGTCACCATGACCCCTTCCGTCACCATGACCCCCTTCCATCACCATGACCCCCTTCCATCACCATGAACCCCTTCCATCACCATGACCCACTTCCTAGACCATGACCCCCTTCCATCACCAGGACCCCTTCCATCACCATGACCCCTTCCATCACCATGACCCCCTTCCATCACCATGACCCCTTCCATCACCATGACCTCCTTCCATCGCCATGACCCCCTTCTATCCCCATTACCCTCTTCCTTCATCATTACCCCTTTCCTTCACCATGACCCCCTTCTGTTGCCATGACCCTGTTCCGTCGCCATGACCCCCTTCCATCGCCATGACCCCCTTCCATCGCCATGACCCCCTTCTATCCCCATTACCCTTTTCCATCACCATGACCCCGTTCCATCACCATGACCCCGTTCCATCACCATGACCCCTTTCATCACCATGACCCCCTTCCATCACCATGACCCCTTCCATCACCATGACCCCCATTCCATGTCACCATTGCTTCCCCATTACCCCTTTCCTTCACCATGGCCCCCTTCCGTGCCATGACCATCGCCATGACCCCCTTCCCGTCACCATCCCCCCTTTTCCATCACCATGACCCCGTTCCATCACCATGACCCCTTCCATCACCATGACCCCCTTCCATCACCATGACCCCCTTCCATCACCATGACCCCCTTCCATCACCATGACCCCTTCCTTCACCATGACCCCCTTCCTTCACCATGACCCCCTTCCATCGCCATTCCACACCATGACCCCTTCCTCACCATAACTTCTTTCTGACCCCTTCTCTCTCCCTCTCTGTACCCTTACCCTCCTCACTCATGAACCCCCTGTCCTTTCCTAGACCATGACCCCCCATTTTACTCTCTTAATGCCCCCTCACCCCCCTCTTCCATTTCAACGAAACCATTTTCCTCTCTCCTTTGTATTAATCCCCCTATGTTCTCATCCCTCCCTCTTTCTTTCTTTCTTTTTCTTTCTCTCTTTCACCTCCCCCCCCATGACCCCCCGCATTCTCCTCACCTATCACCCCCCCTCATGGCCCCTCTCATGGCCCCCTCCATTGCCATTACCCCCCATCATCCCCCCTTCCATCACCATCTTCTATCCTGACCCCCTTCCTTCCCTCCCCTTCTCGCCATTACACCCCCCCTTAACTCTTTCTCTCTCTCTCTCTCTACCTATCCTCCCCCCTCTCCTCTCCTTTTTCTTTCTATGCCCCCTCCCCCCTCCTAAACCATTTTCCCCCCCCCTTTCTCTCTCCTCCCTCTTTCTTTCTTTCTTTTTCTCTCTCCTCCCCCCCCCCCCCCTCTCTCCTCTCTCCCCCCCTCTCTCTCCTCTCCACCCCCTCTCTCTCTCCTCCCCCTCTCTCTCCCTGCTCTCCCTCTCTCTCTCCTATCCCCCCCCCCCTTTCCCCCCCTCTCTCTCTCTCCCCCCCTCTCTCCTCCTCTCCCCCCCCTCTCTCCTCTCCTCTCCCCCCCTCTCTCCTCACTCTCCTCTCTCTCCCTCCCCTCTCTCTCCTCTCCCCCCTCTCTCCTCTCCCCCCCTCTCTCCTCTCCCCCCCCTCTCTCCTCTCCTCCCCCCTCTCTCCTCTCCCCCTCTCTCTCTCCTCTCTCCCCCCTCTCTCCTCTCCCCCCCTCTCTCCTCTCCCCCCTCTCTCCTCTCTCTCCCTCTCTCTCTCCTCTCCCCCCCTCTCTCCTCTCCTCCCCTCTCTCTCCTCTCCCCCCCTCTCTCTCTCCCCCCTCTCTCCTCTCCTCCCCCTCTCTCCTCTCCCCCTCTCTCTCCTCTCCTCCCCCTCTCTCCTCTCTCCCCCCCCTCTCTCTCTCTCCCCCCCTCTCTCCTCTCCCCCTCTCTCTCCTCTCCCCCCCCTCCCCCCCTCTCTCCTCTCCCCCCCCCCTCTCTCTCTCCATCATATTGAGGAAAGTACAGCCAGAGAACATTTGATTGGAAACACTCCCTGCACTCCCTGGGCTCCCCTGACATCTGCAGCCCGTCATCCGTACATCCATCATCCCCAGAACAGCCGACCGCCTGACCTAAACCCCCAACGATTCCCCCTCTTGCAGGACGGGGGGGACCCCGAAGGTGATACGAGGGACAGGAGAGGAAAGATTAAAGTACGATCTGGAGGTTCGCTCATCGGGACGAACTTTGCTGTTCATTGGTGTGGCGTGGAACGCGGTCATGTGACGAGGATGAGACACAAATGATGAGATGAATTCAGTGGGGGGGAGAGATAAGTTGTCTTCTGATACGGGAAGAATTGTGCAATGTAGGAATGTTTGTCAGGGCCCCATCGCCCGGGCCCCATCCCCTGGGCCCCATCACCCCCCGCCCGGGCCCCATCCCCTGGGCCCCATCGCCCCCCGGCCGGGCCCTACCTACACCCCTCATCTGGGGGTCTCCTGGACATGTGGCTGAGATTTGTGAGCGTGTGTTCCTCGCCCCCCCCAGCCGTGGAGGGGTCACTCCAGCGAAGCGGGTCGATGAGTTCTTGGCGCGGTGGATGCGCTCCCCCCCCCCTCTCTGGTTGTGCAATAGCCGGGGAGCAAAGCTGGCTTCCCTCAAATGTCAGGCGGAGGTCCACCAATCCACAAAAGGTCCGGCCAGGCTGACCGAAGGCGAGCCCCGACGTGTGTGGAACGAGCTACCAGCTAGGCTTTGCTAATGACAATAGGGGGTTAATGACCGGGGTCAGAGATCTTCCAGCACGCGGGACAACATTCATCCATTTATCAGCTCTCCCGCTGCCCTCAGGACATCAATTTTATTTGGACGTCCAAAGCAATGGACAGAATGGCGCCTGGCTAGGGTGGATGGAAGCCAGCTGTACAGCCAGAGCCAATCAGAGGAGTCCTAGGTCATGTGATCACCGCGACCATCGGAGCGGTCGGTGAACAAGCCAGGAAATGAACTCGTCCAGGACGAAAAAAACGTTTTATCACCATAACAGATTAGTGAGCGCAGTGCGTGTTCCATGATACGGATTGGGCGATCTGCTCATCAACGCAACAACTGCCGAGAACAAACTAACACAGGAAACGCCTCTGCAGATGTAACTCCTCCCTCCATCCTCCGGGTGTACGGCTCCTCCCCTTCAGTCTTGCACAGGTGTACCGGCTCCTCCCCTCAGTCTTGCACAGGTGTAGCGGCTCCTCCCCTTCATTCTTGCACAGGTGTACCGGCTCCTCCCCTTCAGTCTTGCACAGGCGTACCGGCTCCTCCCCTTCGGTCTTGCACAGGTATACCGGCTCCTCCCCTTCAGGCTTGCACAGGTATACCGGCTCCTCCCCTTCAGGCTTGCACAGGTGTACCAGGTCCTCCCCTCCAGTCTTGCACAGGTGTACAGGCTCCTCCCCTTCAGTCTTGCACAGGTGTAGCGGCTCCTCCCCTTCAGTCTTGCACAGGTGTACCGGCTCCTCCCCTTCAGTCTTGCACAGGTGTACCGGCTCCTCCCCTTCAGTCTTGCACAGGTGTACCGGCTCCTCCCCTTCAGTCTTGCACAGGCGTACAGGCTCCTCCCCTTCGGTCTTGCACAGGTATACCGGCTCCTCCCCTTCAGGCTTGCACACAGGTATACCGGCTCCTCCCCTTCAGGCTTGCACACAGGTGTACCAGGTCCTCCCCTCCAGTCTTGCACAGGTGTACAGGCTCCTCCCCTTCAGTCTTGCACAGGTATACCGGCTCCTCCCCTCCAGTCTTGCACAGGTGTACAGGCTCCTCCCCTTCAGTCTTGCACAGGTGTACCAGCTCCTCCCCTTCAGTCTTGCACAAGTGTACCGGCTCCTCCCATTCAGTCTTGCACAGGGTGTACTGGCTCCTCCCCTTCAGTCTTGCACAGGTGTAGCGGCTCCTCCCCTTCAGTCTTGCACAAGTGTACTGGCTCCTCCCCTTCAGTCTAGCACAGGTGTACCGGCTCCTCCCCTCCAGTCTTGCACAGGTGTATCGGCTCCTCCCCGTCAGTCTAGCGCAGGCGTTGTGGCTCCTCCCCTTCAGTCTTGCACAGGTGTACCGGCTCCTCCCCTTCTTGCACAAGTGTACTGGCTCCTCCCCTTCAGTCTAGCACGGGTGTACCGGCTCCTCCCCGTCAGTCTAGCACAGGCGTTGTGGCTCCTCCCCTGCAGTCTTGCACAGGTGTACCGGCTCCTCCCCTTCAGTTTTGCCCAGGTGTACCGGCCCCTCCCCCGGACTGGAATGGCTCCTCTGATGTCACTGCACACTGAGAGCGTCTCACAATGTGCACTAGAAGCTGTTTGCCACAGATAAAGCTCCACGCCATTTCCTGGCTGGAGGGCATCCAGCATCATCTTGCTCTTTCCACCCCAACCTATCCCTGGCCCCGCCACTATCATCAGTTCTTGCAATCATGGAGGCTCAGCATCACATGTGGGCGTTACTTATGCAAATACAGCCTCTAGATTAAACACACCCACTCATCAAGGCATTTTGCATAACCCCTCCCACTGCTTGGTCAGGACTGAGGGCTCTTGGGAGGCATACTGAGGCTGGGTGCTGTGATGGTTTCAGGAAGCTATGTACAGCCCCCTACTGGCCCCTCCCACCAGCCATGATCTGCCTGCATTGCATAGAGAAGCAGAGAGTCGCACAAGATCAAAGCTGCAGCAAACGGATACAAAACAGATTAAAGCTGCAGCAAACGGATACAAAACAGATTAAAGCTGCAGCAAACGGATACAAGAGAGATTAAAGCTGCAGCAAACGGATACAAAACAGATTAAAGCTGCAGCAAACGGATACAAGACAGATCAAAGCTGCAGCAAACGGATACAAGAGAGATTAAAGCTGCAGCAAACGGATACAAGAGAGATTAAAGCTGCAGCAAAAACGGATACAAAACAGATTAAAGCTGCTGCAGCAAACGGATACAAGAAAGATTAAAGCTGCAGCAAACGGATACAAGAGAGATTAAAGCCGCAGCAAACGGATACAAGAGAGATTAAAGCTGCAGCAAACGGATACAAGAAAGATTAAAGCCGCAGCAAACGGATACAAGAAAGAAGAAAAATACAAGAGAGCAGCAAACGGATACAAGAAAGATGCAGCAAAATACACCTGATTAAAGCCGCAGCAAACGGATACAAGAACAGATTTAAAGCCGCAGCAAACGGATACAAGAAAGATTAAAGCCGCGCAGCAAACGGATACAAGAAAGATACAAGAGAGATTAAAGCCGCAGCAAACGGATACAAGAAAGATTAAAGCTGCAGCAAACGGATACAAGAGAGATTAAAGCTGCAGCAAACGGATACAAGAGAGATTAAAGCTGCAGCAAA